AAAAGGCTTCAAGTCTCCCTGTGGGCAGAGCCGAGCCTTTGGCACTGGGGTGCGTGGCTGTGGCTCCGGATGGCAGCGCAGAGGTAGCCCGCTGGCCCGTGATGAGCTTCCTGCGCACACAACCCATCTCTCCGCTCTCCCTTTGATCGCCCCGCTCTCTCAAAACAAAATGTATCTCCGAAAGCCAGGACATACCCTCTTTCCCCATTTCATTCTTTAAGCAAGAGAGCAGCTTTGAAGCAGCTTTTCGGGATCCAGGCGACTCATAAAGAGAAGCGGTTGAGGCGTGCCAGGAAATACGCGAACACTCAGGCAGATGAAATTCTCCACCCTGGGCGAAATCCCGAGAATACCCTTCGATCTCGACTTGCGGCCCTCCCGGGGGCCGCCCGCCAGCCCCGCGGATGCCAGCTTGCGAACAGCCACACCGAAGCCCCGGTGCTCGCCTCCCCCCTCGCTCGGCAGCGGCCCGGCCCGCGGGCTCCGCGGGGGGCCCGGGCCGCCGCCACGCCGCCGGGGCCCGGCAGAGGGCGGCCGCGGCCCGGCGATGCCGGCGGGCGGCCTGCGGGGAGCGCGGCCCGGGGCCCCGCTGGCTCGGCGGCACCGGCCCCCGCGGCGGCGGGCGGGGAGCAAAGCGGCCCTCAGCGGAGGGCCAGCGGGCCGGGCGAGGGGGCTACCCGCCCTCCTGGCCCTCTCCCTCCCTCCCGCCACGCTAGACCGGGCGATCCTGTCGAGCCGCCTCGGCCTTCGCTTTAACAAGCCACCATCGCCGCTGCCCTTTTCCTTCCCTGTGTTGCCCGCCCTCACACCTCCCCGGGCGCGAAGGAGAGAGCCTCGGACCTTGCACGCCGGCCTCCTGGCACCTGGCTGTGGCTCAGTGCAGGATGCAAGCATGTCTAGAGCTCTCATGAGCTCTGGACATTAAAAGATTTCAAGGACATTTCCCCCCATTCATCCCAGTTATGTCCCCTGCTAAAATAGGTTAACGGTGTCTAATTAACCACTGCACATTGTCATGCTGCATAAAGATAGCATCCTGGCTGTTCTCTGAGCCCTGCTACTTTATCTCCATTTAGATCTCCGTAGTAGTCCATTAACTGAGAAAGAAACAGTTTAACAGAGATGATGTCTACATTAGAACTTGCCTTTCACCCTTCAGCACAGAAGTTGCAGGGAGGCAGCTCAGCTGTACATTAGGGATGGGTGTGGAGGAAAGCCCCGGGTTTGAGGTTTAACCCCCTCTCATTAATGTGGAGGGAGGATTCCTGCTGGCCAGAACTCAGCAAAGGCAACACTCAAGAGCGATGTCAGATCTGTATCCTCTGCCCCAGGACACAGCTAGGACAGAAATAGGTATTCAGTACCGGGAGTTATATAACGGGGTTGCATGGGGTCTGTCAAGAGTCTTCTGTCCAGTTTCTCAGCTATTCAACACCCTGAAATAGAGGAGGGGTCAGCAGTTGGCCAAAGCAAGAGGGAATATTCTGAGATTTTGGTTATGTTTGGGAGCACAGACAGCCTTGCAGTGAAAGGGAGTCTAAAAGGAGCTGTTCGGGTGATGGGGTTGATCCATGTTCTTTGGCCCTCCAGATGCAATGAGCTTATCAGAAGAAACAAAAGAAACAGAAGTATCGCTATAACACAAAACCTAGGGGTGGCTGGTGTATAATACAGCAGACTGAATGCATTTCTGAGCACTGCTCCCATGATTGTATTGTTTTGTTTGCCCTTACTTGAGTGGGTGTATCTATAGTTCATACATAATTGCTCATTTTATAGGTGCTTGTTGCTGCCTTCCCTGGGCTCTGCCTCCAGCTGAAGCAAGCAAACCAGGGCAGTGCATGACCTGTTGCTGAGAGTGTAAAGAAAGAGCAGCAAATCTGTCTATGCTGGCTTGATTTTACAGTCTGTTTTCTTCCATGTCTGCTTTCACTCACCACTAGAAAGCTGTGCCCATGGGATGAATGAAGGGGATGTTGTGTACCTAGGCCTGGTGTTCCTGAGGGATGAAATGTTGGTCTCAACATGTCACAATTGGCATTGATAGACCAAGCCAGTTCTCAGGGAGGGGTACTCCACGATGCTTAAAGCAGTGTGATAACTTCATGAAGAATGCCTGTGGGGCTTCCCATAGCACCTAGAGGGCAAAGAGACAAACAGGTGACTAGCTCTGCAGGAATAGTATCTCCATGTATAGCTTAGCCCTCAGCTAAGCTTATGGGATGGACAGAGCTGGAGGTTGGGCACCTTTTGACTATCTATTAATGATTTCCCTTACTGGCTTGAAGGTTTTTAACCTTAGGACACAAAACAAAGCTTGTATTTTCTCTCAGGGTAACTTTGTTAGATAGATTTAGGTAATGCAGTTGGGCTAAAAAAGTGAAGATCAGTCAGGAACAAACCAAAAATATTTTGTGAATTTTTTTTTCCAATCTGAAACAAGGAATGAAAAAGTAATTTGGCACCAAACAAAATGAAAGGAAACCTTATAAAAAGAGAAAGGAAACAATAGGTTGATTGGTATCTTTACCTAATAACTCAGTCATTAAGGCGACAGAGAGTGTAAAACATGCAATTCATTCCTGTGCTCCAGAAGTTTCATAATGTATTTCCAGAATAGTTGTCTACCTGTGAGTTTATCAGCTGGTTTGAAATGCCAGTTTCATCAAGTAATGCTATTTCAAAACATATATTAACAAACGTATCTAGTACAAGTAACTAGAAGTAGATGTCTCACCTAAACAGAACAGTCATTATTTAAATGCTCTGTATAAACCCCAGGACTGTCAGCATGATAGCCTGGCATCACCAACTGCCATCTTCAGACCCCATGGTATCAGGACTAGGGTGTTCTCCTGGCGGGGCTGACTGTGAGGCTTTAGCTTGCCCTAGGGAGAGGAGTCAACTGTCTTGTTTGACAGGAGAGTGTTCTAACACCTGGGCTCTGGGATTAAGGGGGTCAGTACTATTCTCCCCTCCCGGTTTATTAATTTTGTTCCCCAAATTACTGTTTTTTCCAATATAGTGGAGCTATTTCATAATGAAGTATTTGCTTATTGCCCTGAATAAGTCCTTTCTTAACATAACAAGGAAAAGTAGATAAAGCTTTAAGTCTCAGAATATGAGTGAAGTACTCTCTGCCTCTAGGACTAACATATGACTGCCTTCCCTGGGGGCCACCTGGATATCTGCCATGACAGGGAGCTCAGGAAAAAGACACAGAAATTGCTTACAGGGATAGCAGGAGTGACCCTCTCCTGGGAAGTATAAACATGTGGAGTGTTTCACTCCTGCCTGGGGACAGGAGATGAGCAAAGATCTAAGGAGTGTCAGTACTGAGGCAAATAGTGTTATTTGGGGCTGGACAATTATCAAGAGTAGCAGGATCATGCTAAGAAGAGGTTAGATTGAACCTTCAGGAAATCATCTCACTGTGCAAGGCTGTGCAAAGCCATCATGTGGGATGTTTCAGCTCAATGAAGGCAAGGCTCTGAAGACACAGCGTAGGAAGGCTGAAGGGAGGGATAAAATAGGATAAATCTTACATCATCTTTCCATCTCTGTCTTCTCAGGTTCTAAACTCCAGTGAGAGCTGGTGGTGGGCATTCTGAAGCCATCCCTTTCTTTCTCCATAGTGTCAAGGTGTTCACAGAAAGTGCTTTGAACTACCGCTGCAGAGAAGGGTGGAGCTGGACAATCACTCCTCACTGGAAGAGTTCTTTCCTAAATTCCCCCGCTCCATTGCACTCTGGCCTCTTCTGATGAATAGAAGGGTGCAGATATAGCTGAAAACCCAGATGCAGATGTCACCTTCACAGCTGCAGTTCTGGTTATAACAGTGGATATTACTGGGCTCAGATCACTGAATCAGTGCAATCTTCAGCTTCTCACAGGCTGCAAGCTCCAGGGAGAGCAGTGGGGACAAGGGGCTTTCTTCTTCTCATAGCTAGACATCCTCTGTGCCCTTCTCCTTGCTCTTGGAAGAGTAGATTATTCACAGGAGAGCTAGATGAGGACTATAACCTGGTAGAACAGAGGGCAGATGAGGAGAGGCCTGCCCCACCTCATGGAAGTGCTTGGAAAGGAGCAGTGCAAGGCGATGAAACAACTTCTCTTACATCTTGGTGTGTCCTGGGACAGTGCATGTGGTAGGGGAGAGCCCCATGTATTCTTTGTCATGGCACCCTGTCTTCAAGGGAGTGGAGAATCTTTATTCCCAGTGCATAGAGATGAAACTTCACTCTGTAAAATGGCCAAAGCAATCAGCGAGTGATGGAGTATCTGCTAAAAAGAAACCTGGCATTTAATTAACTTTTCAAAGTGCTGGTTCAGCAACCTCCATGTTTTACATTTTGAATATTGAACAAGCGTCCCTAATCGGGACTGAATTACTTCTGGGCTTGCTGGGGTGGAGAGCAAGGGAGCTGCCATTTGCCAGTGCCTCCCCCGCACGTTATTATTATGAACTCCTGTTAACTCAGCCAGATCAACCCTGATTTACTGCAGCGACAGCATGTCTGACCTCAGCTTGGCCAGCTCGGGTGGGGCTCCTAACCTACAAAGGCAACCAGATAGTCTTTTTATACAACTAGGGGGATGAAGGACCTGTTGATCTCTCAGGGATAGATAGACAAAATATAGCATCTTCTTCACTCCTTAATGTGCCAGTCTTTGTACTCAGGTAAGGCAAGCTTTACCTGCAGCTGATGGCAGAGGAAATGAAAAAGTATATGAGAAACTAAAAATAGGGAGTGTGGTTCTTGCTGTATCTGGGCATGTCTGTCTTTTTGGACCCAAATGGTTCTATTTCAATCTGATGTACTCAGAGACTTTTTGATATACACTGGTTTAATGGTCACTCATAACTCTTTAAAGGTGTGATGTGTTATATTGAACATGGTGTAGGAACTGTTTTGCACAAGAGCAGTGAGATAAGGAAAGGTGCAGCTTTTTAATTTTCTCTAGCCTTTTCTAAGCATAACCCTTTCCTTGTCTTGCAGGTCAGGAAGAAAGCACGCAGAAGAAGTAGAAGAGTAAGTTCCCATTGTTGCTGAGACTTCTTCCACGACTCTTATATCTGATCTCATGGAGAAGGGACATGTGACTCTAAGCACAGTACACCAAGATCCGGCACTCAGGAAGGGTACCGAGCCTGGCATGAATTCATGTCGTGTCCTGGGTTGGGATATGGCTGGTGACTCTATAGTTCCCTGGATATGGAGCAGATGATGTCTCTGTCACTCCCATAGGACAGAAAGAAGGAAAATTAGAAAGCATCTGCTTTCCTCCCAGGCCCTACTGTCTGCAGCCTAGGGGTTTGTCTCAGGTATAAGGCATTTTGCTTAAGCACTGTAAGCTGAGATTTCTGCCGAGTCCAGCAATGAGGGGTATGGAAGAAGATCAGTGTGCAGACTAAGCATAGCTGGGCACTCCCCCCTTGACAGGCCATGAAAGTTGTGAGGAGGCAGGGGACACACTAAGATGCTTTTTTGGGCTTGCATTTGAAATTATTTCTTTCTTGTGTTTTGCTGCAGCCATCGTCTCAGACAGCAGAGCCTGGAGGTGTCAGATGATGGAGGAGGTAAGGTATCACCTATTTGACTGCAGGAAGTGCCTTCATGCATGTCTGAGGGTTCTTCAGTAAGGTGAGCAGAGGCATCTTGTAAGAAATTGCAAGGAAATGAGCCACCCTGAGGGTAAACAAATGCAGGAGTCCCTTACCTCTCCCCAGCTGCTGAGTGAGGGAGAGAGAGAGCAAAGGAGATGGAGAGGAGGGTGAAGAAGTCAACCTGTAGTCTAACTCTGGTTCTTCATTAACACAGGATGATAAAGGACCTTTGGGAGGAAGGAAAGTGTCAAGGACGTGCTTTTCTCTGTGATTACCTCCACATAGAGAGTAGCGGACAGGGGCAAAAAGAGAGCTAAAAGAGCAATAAAATGTTAAGAGCGGGGAAAGAAATCACTGCTGTCCCCTAGTTTAGGTGATAGTGTGCTCTGCTTAAAGTTTTTCTTATGTTTTATCGTAACATCCTTGTCTTGTTCTCATCAGGACAAGGGCCTGCACCACTCTCCTGGGGTCTCTGTTGTAAGGGAATTCTTAATTTAAAAAATCCACTTGCCCTAACCCAAGATCATAGACCTTAGGCTAATCATAGCCACTGGTGGATAATGCCAACCCATCCCTGTAAAGGCTGCTGTGAAATCCTGACTTAGCACAAGTTGGTTTTTTTTTTTTTTTTATAGTGTATATTACCTGCTCTTCTAGGACTGGATGAGCCAAGAGAAATCTCAGTAAAAATCCACAGTATGAATTTTGAGATGAGCACTAGGAACTGTGGAAGCATAGAAATTCATTACAGTCTCTAGGAGCTACCTCAGTTTTCAAGGACTAAGAATTTTATACAGTGTATGAAAAGTTGCATCTGTAAAATATCACCAAGCATCAGAAGAATTACAAGGAGTCACAAAGGATCAGACATCAGTGTGGTTAATGAGATTAAATGAAGACTTATTTGGGTCTTCCAGACAGATTAAGCGTTGCAACACATGACTGCCAGAAGTGGCACCTTTATAGCATTGGCATCTTCAGAATAGACTTAATTTTCCCCCTGGGAACTTTCTTGGGCTTCTTAAATTTCAACGTGTGTCACTGAGGCTGATAGTCTGTTCTGAACAGCTCTTTGACTGTTGGCATACGTGCTGTCCTTCTTATTGAACCTTGGTCTTGTATTCAGAGTATAATAACTGTCTTTGCTAACCAGGCATAAAAATGCTTGCCACATGTTTGCTGCATGTGACTTCTGGTGCTCCAAGACCTTGAGTAATAAATGCAGAATAGAATTGATGCAGAATGCGGTATGAAGACATGGCAAGTCCTAATACACTTCACTTACTTATCTGTGCCTAACTTATGGTTAACAGTTGAATTTGGATTGTTTTCAAACCAGAGTTCAGTTTTGGATTACATCTATGTGTTAGAAGAGAGATCCCACTAATCTGATTATGGTTCCTACCCAGGCAGTTTCTGGTACAGTCAAATACACTGAGCTGTAGATCTAATTTGAATATGGAAAATCTCTAAATGGATCAATGCATTTCATGCTTGTGGTGCTATTTCCACATGGAGATTAAGCAAGCTATTCTGGGAGAGGAGTTTTCCATGTGGGCTCAGCAATTGCAGTGAAGAAAAGTGACATATAAACAAACTCCAGAACCTGAATAAAATTACTTTTTTGAATAAGCAGAGAGATACAAATAATTGCCCACTATAGAAGGCAGGGAGTAGCACGCTGTGGCTGTGCAGTAAATTGAGCTGTATCAGCCTCCCCTTCACACAGAACTGCACTTGGGCTTGTGTCCTTAACTGTAACAGTGAAGCTCAGATTCTAAACATACAAAAATCAAGACATTGGTGTATGGATCCCCAAGGATGGGTCACGGTTATTTTGTGCTGCATAATGTGTTAGCTTGTACACCTTAATATGAACAGGCGCAGTTGCGTAATGATTGCTGCTGTCAACCAATACATTTGTATCGCCTTCCTTTAACCTATTAGAAAGCTGAGCTGTACCATTCCATTAACATTGTTTGTCCCCCATCTAACCTTTTCATTAGAACAACGAAGGACAAAATCATATGCCCTTAAAAAGGTATTCTTGTGTATTTGAAATGTGCTCAGTTGTGATCATTTATACGTCATTAGCACCCAGAGGCTCAGAATTTGGAGTCCATTGGAGAAAGTGTTGAAAAAGCACAGGGCCTGGAGAGAGCCCGGTTTGGCATGTGGAGAATGAAGGGAAGGTTGTACAGCCAAGTGGAGACTTTTGGGCTTGATATGCCTTGTAGTTTCAGAAATAAAGGTAGAATTCTTTCACTGCTCCTGGCCAATCACCCTGTGCATGAAATAGCATGTGATTCCTCATCTCCATGGGAGTTTGGGTGAGGACAGTCGCTTCTCAGGCGGTGTGGAAAGACTGAAGTAATATGGGAGTTTGTAAGTGTCTGGACAAGGCAGGGACATGCATGGTACTACCTGCAATTTCATCCATTCCTTACACTTGCACAGGGAAACCCAAAGGTGCAAGTCATACATACTGTGCAATACAAACTCTTGAAATACTAGCAGAGAAATACCTTGGCTCAGGTCATGCTCAGAATTCATTTTCTCTAATCCATATTTCTTCTGCACAGAGGCTAATCCAGGACAAGAGAGCCACTTTAAAGAGGAGCCAGTTTTGAGTTGTAGGAAAGCAAAGACTTGTGCTTGACTAAGAACACCATTTGCTCCTGTAAAACTCCAGTCTGTAAAGACTGTTTTGAAAAAGTGCAGTGTCTCTCCAGAAATAACTCTGGAGTGTCTAGTTGATGGATATTGGGGTTTCCTACAGCACGCACTGGGAGCTTAGTGCCCACCCTCCTGCTACCCATAGCAAATGGATAACACACCTTTGCTATGTGGGTGTGTGTCCAGCTGAACCTTGTTGGGGGGGTCGAGGTCCTCTGCATAGTGGGAAACCTGCTTTAGCAAGATTTAATGCATCTTAACTTGAGGAACAATAAACCTCACAAGCAACGCAAAAGTGTTTAATTCCTAAAGGACAGGCCTAGTTGAGTCACTTTTGGCCAGGGGCAATTGAGGGCTTAATGCTGTGTATGTAGCAATCTGGGCAATCTGAGAGAGGAGTTTAAGGGTAATTGCTCAATTTTCTGTCCGTGTCAACAGGGGAAATGGGCAGCAGTGACAGAGCTCTGTATGGCAGGGAAACTGCATGAGATAGGAGATGTGAGACTATCAGTGGAATTTTAAAAGTGCTATCTACAGAGCACTGCTTCCTTTCCTATAGCAGCCAGGAGCTTTTCCCAAGTGTAGGCTATTCTTTCTCATGAGGTGGGAGGGAAGACAGAACAACCAAGTTCACATTGAAGGTCTTTCCCTTCCCTTTGCTCCTTTCTCCAGCAGGGCAGTGGAGTCTCTGCCTCGGCTTTGCTTGGGTATTTCATTTGGCTTTACTCTGCTTGTGTGTCTCTGGCATGCAGCTACAAAGGGCTGTTTCCTGTTGGGGTGATAAATGCTGGCATCCCCACCTCCCCCACCTCCAAACTGTGTTGTCCTTTTGGCTGAAAGTTTTTTTGTTGTTCCTTTCCTGTCCACCAGTTCTGCACTGCTGAGTTGCACTCCCTCAGATACCTGTCTCCTCACTACATTGCCCTGAGATTTTAATCCTTAGCACTCTACGGTGGACTTGTTAGCTCAGGTTGTCATCTCCCTTCCATCTATCCTTCCCCCATACACTTGCCCCAACCTCAGAAGTCCCTTCCCCCCTTCTCCGTTACCCTTGGGATGCATAGCTCCTAGAACAGGGCTTTTCTTGGAAGACTGGAATGTGATGTGTGATTCTGTGTCTGCAGGAACAACGGCTTGTTATTTTAAAGCAGATAGTGTGTGTGAATGAGACAGTTGATTGAAATGAAAGCCTGACTGTGCTACACAGACAACCCAAACCTGACCTGCAGGTGAGGAAAGCTGCCAGGAGACAGTCACTAGATCTGTGCCCTCAAGGCAAAACCCCTTCCTGCCTGCTGGGAAGCCTGCTCAAGGAAGCAGAGCTGACGATTAGACCACTCTATACAATGTCAAACCTCTAGAAGGACTTCTTACCCTTCTGGTGTGTGCCAGCAGCTCCTTTGCATTTGAACAGAATGGGAGTCCAGGCTGTGTGCACAACAGAGGAGGAAGTGGGCATATGCCATGGTCCCCATATCCTTCTGGGGAGTAATGTCTGTCTGTCAGGTGGGAGACAGCCCTCACAAGATAGCTGGGACCTGGAATTGTCAGCCATAAAATATCAAGCACCTCTCAAGCTGCATGCCAGTGTGCACTGATGATGAAATTGCTCCGAACAGAGCTGAGAATAGAATGCAGTGTGGGTTATTGTTTGCTCTGTCATTCCTGATAAAGTTTGCCAGTTGCTTCCCTGGTGAGCTGTTGTTTTCACAGAAGACACCAAGTGCTGGTGGATTCCAAGGGCTGTGAGCTGCAAGAACAGCTGCATCGACTGAGCGTGAGGCTTAGAGAGGGGGGAATTTGCAGGTCAGTCAGGGAGATGGCCAGTGGGTAGCTGACAGGCTCTGGAGGCAGTGGTGCCGTGGTTTGGGGAGAGCTAAATGGACTAAAAGTTCTGAGCATCGATGAAATGGAGACAGAGTGAAAAGCATGCTGCTTTGAAAGTCGTGAGTATGGGCTGAAGAGAAGGGTTTGGGGCAGAGTGACAGTGACTGCTGAGTTTCTGGAATTCTGCACTGTGACTGTGTGTGTGGCTCTGTCAGCACACCACAGTTGTCCCGTTGGCTGCTCCCCTAGTGTGCTGCCCCAAGTCTCTGTGCAAGGTCAGTGAAGGGCAGCTCAGCCCAACCTGATGGTTTCCACTGAGCTGTTGGTCCAGGCCAGTTTGAACTTCTCCAGTGACTGCTGACATTGTGATCTAGAGCCTCTGGTGTTCAAGGAAATCTCCCTCCTGACAGTCACAGGGGGGAAGCAGAAAATATGTCTCAAGGGATGTGTCTGAAGTCCTATTTGAAACA